CCAAATCAGAACTTTCATTTACCTGAAATAATAGCTGTCCCTTTCTGCTGCAAAGATGACTTTCACAATGCAACTTTCTGCACTACAGATATGTCTTGAGTCAGGGAACCCAATCTCAACATAAGGTTTGTCTACATGGCACCATGGTCCGGACTAAAGGGTTGTGAACTGTAGAGCATTCTTACATATTGCACTCTTTAAATTCCCTATGTAATCCCTGCTGGATCGAACTAAAAGGTACCTAGCTCACCTTGATGTAGTCCCATTTCCAACCGTATTATGTTAGTGGGAACAGGATAATTTTTAGTTCATGCCAGCAGGATCTATGTGGGGCAGTTAGAGCACAACACAGTAGGGCACACTGACTGCAGTGCAGTGTAGATGAGCTTATATTGTCCCTGGTCTGTTTCAACACTGTTCCATAACTAAGCTATATTCTTAGCCTAAGTTCAGTGACCATGCTAAAGGGACATGGAGAGTAAGGCATTAGCTTGATTACAGAACATTTTTAAGCTCCATTGTACACTGCAAACTGAAACAACATAGTAACCAGGTTCCTTGACATGGCTGTATTGGTAGTCTGGTTGGGCTTTTAATAAATGTAGTGCTGCTTTGCAGAAAATTCTGTCTGGGTAGGCAGCAGGCAAAGGTGTGAAATGTATTGTTGCCTAAAACTCTCTAGTTACTTGTCTGTTTCAAAGCCTTGTTAGGACAATTTCACAAATACAAGTAATGAAAATGTAAGTCTCCTCACAGGGGTGAGATTCTGTCTTTAAACTCTTCTTCCAGTTTCTTTTCTGGGATGGTTTTTTTGCTTTTCAGTAAGGCTTTCCCGTCTCACCGCGTGTGCTGGGAAGATAGTGGGATCATCTTTTTCCCATTCGTCCTTTGTAATCTCTTAATTTCTCAGTCACTTACTTGTGTAAGAGTTGAGGTTGGGCAGATGGTTCCGTTTGTGTTAAGTGTTGCTACAGCTAGATTTATTATCTGTCAAGGGGAGGCTTCACACACTATCTCTGAAGGAACTCAAATGTGAAATTGCAGAACTACTAACTGTAGTCTGTAACCTATCATTAAATCAGCTTCTGTACCAAATTACTGGAGGATAGCTAATGTGATGCCAATTTTTTAAAAGGGCTCCAAAGGTGATCCCAGCAATTACAGGCCTGTAAGCCTGACTTCTGTACTGGGCAAACTGGTTGAAACTATACTAAAGAACAATATAGATGAACATAATTTGTTGAGAAAGAGTCAACATGGTTTTAGAAAAGGGAAATCATGCCTCACCAATCTACTAGAATTCTTTGAGAGGGTCAACAAGCATGTGGACCAAGGAGATCCAGTGGATATAGTGTACTTAGATTTTCAGAAAGCCTTTGACAAGGTCCCTCACCAAAGGCTCTTACGCAAAATAAGCTGCCACAGGATAAGAGGGAAGGTGCTCTCATGGATTGGTAACTGGTTAAAATATAGGAAACAAAGGGTAGGTATAAATGGTCAGTTTTCAGAATGGAGAGAGGTAAATAGTGGTGTCCCCCAGGGGTCTGTTCAACATATTCATAAATGATCTAGAAAAAGGGGCAAACAGTGAGGTCACAAAATTTGCAGATTATACAAAATTACTAAAGATAGTTAAGACCAAGACAGACTGCAAAGAGCTACAAAAGGATCTCTCAAAATTGAGTGACTGGGCAACAAAATGGCAGATGACATTTAATGTTGGTAAATGCAAAGTAATGAACATTGGAAAGCATAATCCCAACTATACATATAAAACGATGGGGTCTAAATTAGCTGTTACCACTCAAGAAAGAGATCTTGGAGTCATTGTGGATAGTTCTCTGAAAACATCCACTCAATGTGCAACAGTAGTCAAAAAAGCAAACAGAATGCTGGGAATAATTAAGAAAGGGATAGATAATAGGACAGAAAATATCATGTTGCCTCTATATAAATCCATGGCATGCCCACATCTTGAATACTGTGTGCAGATGTGGTTGCCCCATCTCAAAAAAGATATATTGGAATTGGGAAAAGGTTCAGAAAAGGGAAACAATTATGGGGGTATGGAACAGCTTCCGTATGAGGAGAGACTAATAAGACTGGGACTTTTCAGCTTGGAAAAGAGATGGCTAAGGGGAGATATGATTGAGGTCTATAAAATCATGACTGGTGTACAGAAAGTAGTTAAGGAAGTGTTGTTTACTACTTCTCATAACACACGAACTAGGGGTCATCAAATGAAATTAATAGGCAGCAGGTTTAAAACAAATAAAAGGAAGTATTTCTTCACACAGTGCACAGTCAACCTGTGGAACTCCTTGCCAGAGAA